CTGCAGTGTGCTAGACCCTGTGCTGGGCACAGGAGACATGGCTGGGAGCACAAGGGGCCAAAATATATGAAGATAGGAACATGGGAACCTTGTCCACACAGGTGGGTGGGTAGGTCTGGAAGGAAAAAGTGACCCCTGGGCCAGAGGAGGAGCAGCCAGGAGGAGAGCTGGGGGAAGGAGAGTGGTGGGAGCGGCAGGTGTAATGACCCGGAGGCAAGCACCACCCAGCATGACCAGAGAAGCAGAGAGAATGGTGTAGCTGAAGGGGGGATGGGAAGTGTAGAGGGAGAAGTGGGGGGAGGAGACAGTTTAGGAGCCTCAGGGGCTTAGGGAGCAGTTTGTATTGGATTCCAAAGGAGACGGGAGCCACAGAGGATCTGAATCCATTTGCTAGCTGGGGCAAGAGTTCTGCCGTTTTGGGTCAAGAGACCTCGGAGGAGGCACTGTGCCCAGTCTAGCAAAGCAGTGGCCGGAACTGATCGCACCTTGGCCCCCACGGAGACCCAGATGCCAGTGGGCGAGGGGACATCTGGCCTACAGAACTTACTCGTGGTCACTGCCCTTCCACTGCTCCGGGGACAGTGAGGTGCTCACTGTAGGCATGTAGCCTGTGGCTGGGTTCTGCATTGCAGGCACCCCACGTGCCTACAATCCCGCCATCTGCCTCCCATGCCTCGGGCTGGTCCCGGCCTGCAATTCCCCGTGACACTCTGTGGCTGGACTGAATGTCCCAGGAGAGGGGCTGATGTGCCTGAGGATACCCACTGAGCTTCCCTCCTGCCTGCATGGCACCAAAGTGTGCGTGGCCAGGTTAAAGGTCAGGGGTGTCTGAGTACAACTCCTGGGGCTCCCACTTTGTGCTCAAGCACCTCAGGCAGGGCCACTGTGTTCTGAGCCTCAGTTTCCTCATCTGGAAGATAGGGATGACCCCACGGCACAAAGTGAAGGCCTGGGGAGGGCTCCCAGGGCCCAGACTGTCAAAGGTTCCTGGCTTTTCTGTCTGCATAATGGATCTTTGGCAGACACTTGATTTTCCCTTTGGGTTTTCAACTTTGCTATGTTGTCAAAATGTTGACAATCGAAAAGTTTAAAGACCCCCACAAGCCTGATGTAGCATGGTGAGGAGGAGGAGGGGAGGGAACAGTGATATTCAATGTCCACTAACAACCAGGCAGGATCCAGTCCTGCACAGAAAGACAATAGGAAAACTCTCACAAGTGCCTGGGCACCCCGTGATCTAGGTGTGCAGGGACTGCGCATCACCACTGCTATTTCCACAACCTTCATCAGTTTTCCAATGGAGGAAACCCTGTTCTCTGCCCGGAGTCACCAATGCATCCCCAGGATCCTAGGCAGGTGTGACCAACCCAGGAACCAGGATGTCTGCTATGCGGGTCTCTGGCGCCACCTACTGGACTAAGCAGGTAAGCACCAGCCCTCAAACATTCCCAGACCATTAAGCACCTATTGGGTGCCCGGCACTGGGACCCATCAGGGATAGCCAGCCATCTCTGCCCTCTTCTGTGTCTTTATAAACTCCTGCGAGGTCCTGCAGGCCCAGGTCAGCAGGTCAGAAGTGGGAATCTATCCAGAATTTCCCAGCCTGGGTACTGCTGATGTCTGGGCTGGCTCATTCTTTGCTTGGGGCCCAGTCTGAGCAGCATGCCTGGCCTTGACCCACCAGATGCCAGGAACACTTCTCACCAACCTGCTGTGACAACCAAAAATGTGTCCATGCCCTAGCAGGTTTGGCTCAGTGGATGGAGTGTTGGCCTGCAGACTGAAAGGTCCCAGGTTTGATTCCAGCCAAGGGCACATGCCCAGGTTGCAGGCACGATCCCCAGTAGCGGGTGTGCAGGAAGCAGCCAATCAATAATTCTCTCTCATTCATTGTTGTTTCTCTCTTTTTTCTCCCTCTTCCTTCCTCTCTGAAATCAATTAAAAAAAGATTTTGTAAAAATGTCTCCAGATGTTGCCAAGTGTCCCCTGGATGCAGAATCACCCCTCAGGTGAGAACTGCCGGGGTGACCTGACCCCAGCATCACACGAAGGATGGAGGGCGGTGCTGCCTCGCTGTTCTTCCAACGAGCCAAGGCCTGGCCACCCCAGGGCCTTGGTACGAGCTGCCGCTTCTGCCTCCCTCCCGCCCTCGCTCCGGGTTTGGTGCCTCCTGGCCCTTCAGGCCAAAGCCCCAGAGGCCTCCCACCACCTCTACCACCAATGCCCATCTCAGCCGCAGGCGCAGCAGCCCAGGGCCCCCCACCTTGCGCTGCTCCTTCCTCATGACGTGTTTGTCCTCATCCTTCCAGTAGGCATCCTCCAGCTCCTTGTGCTTCCGGGCATCGGCCGCCGCCTTAGCCTCAGCCCTCCGCGCCCGGGCTGCTGCTGACTTGGTGTTCTCGCCCTGGAACTTCTTGGGCATCCCTCAGCAGGCTGCGGGAGGAGGGTGGGGACCAGTGAGTAGGGGGCATCCATCGCCAGGAGCCCCAGACTCACTCCTGGGCCTCATGTGTAAAACGAGCACTCAGACTTAGTGATTTCTCTTTTATGTATTGGAGTGAAATGTATAGGACACAAAACGAAGCATTTTAAACGTACAATTCAGTGGCATTTCATACATTCACAATGTTGTATCATCACCACCTCTAACTAGTTCTAGAACATTTCTATCACCCCAAGTCCCTCCTTCCCCCGGCCCCGGCAACCAATAATCTGCTTTTTGTCCCTGTGGATCTGCCTGTTCCGGACATTTCAGAGGTGGAATCACACATGTGGTCTTTTGCATCTGGCTTCTTTCACTCGGCATAAAGTTTTCTGGGATCACATTGTACCATGAGTTAGTGCTTCGTTCCTTTTTATGGCTGAGTGACACCCCCTTGCGTGAACGGATATTTTGTTTATCCATCCATCCCCTGATGGGCATCTGGGTTCTCTCCGCTTTTTAGGTGCGAGTCATGTTAGTGTGGACTTCTGCAGGCCAGTCTGCCACCTCTGAGGCTTTAGTTCCTGGGTCCCACAAAACCGAGCCTCAGTCCCCCTCATCCTGGGTCAGCAGGCGCAGTGAATGGCAATGACCCAGCCCCGGCTCACACGGCTGGGAGGTGCTGTAGCAATCATGAAGCTTATGTCTGGTAGGGACATAGTCTGTACAGGTCCCAGCTATTTCCCTGTGCCCAGCCTCTGCTAAGCGCTTTATATGGACCAATTCGATGAATGCCCCAAAGCCGTAAATATGGGGATTTATTCCCATTCTAGGGCAGGAAAGCCGAGGTACCTGGCCTGGTCACACGGGACTGAGCCTGGCACTTCACCTCCAGTCTGCCTTTCAGGTGAGGAAGGGAAGGCTGTGAGGTGAGACAAGGACAGCACTACCTCCAGGCACAGACTGAGGACCACGTGCTCTATGGCCCAAGGCACATGCTGCTGGGCCTGTTTTCCTCATTTGGGAAACGGGCTGATGCACATCCCTCCTGTGTCATCCTCACCCCTCACGGAACCGTGGAGAAATGGGCCCAGCACCCAATAAAGGGGAGGGAATGTGGGACCACCCGACTTAGGACAGGCAGCCTCTAACTCCACACCCTCAGCTGCGTGACTGGTGCCCATCGCTGAGCCCTCAGCAGAGACTCTAACTTCAGCTCCTGTTTGCGGCAGCTGTGCGGCTGGGCTGAGTGCTTTACAGGCAGCATCTTAGTGAATTCTTACAACCCCGGAGGGAGACCGCTCGGCAGAGGCCTGAAGGATGGTTGGAGGCAGCCCTGTGAGGACAGAGGGTGAGGATTCAGGGTGAAGGGCACCACTCAGGCAAAGGCCTTGAGGCGAGGGGGAGGCTGTGTTCAGGCACAGGGAGTGCCGAGGCAGCTTTGAGCAGGGCGGGAACGCTTTCTGATTAGTTTGTTCCAAAGCCCTCTCTAGCTGACCAGGGGGAGGCGGGAACGCTGAGGGGATCATGATGATGCCACGGGCAGGGCGGAAGGGTTAGTCGGATGAAGCTGTGTGTGTGCTCTAAACCACTTCATCCCCAGCAGCGGCAGAGGCATCCTCCATCGAGCACTTCGTATGGACCAACTTAAACAAACGTCCCAAGCCTCAATCCTGGGGACTGTCCTCACTCCCATTCTAAGGGGGGAAGGCTGAAGTACCCGGTGCCCATTTACACACGAGAAATCTGAGGCTGAGGCAGAGGCAGAGAGGTTAAGTGACAGGCTCAGAGCCATACAGGGGGTCAGTGAAGGGGCCTGGATTTCAACCCAGGCCTAGCTCTCCTCAGTCTCTCCTCACCCCACCCCACCCCCTTTTTTTTTTTTTTAATGATTCAGAGAAGGTAAGAGGGGGAAAGAGATAAAAACATCAACGATGAGAGAATCATTGATATAGGCTGCCTCATGCAGGACCCCTACTGGGGTTTGAACCCGAAACCCAGACATATGCTCTGGCTGGGAATCGAATCGTGACCTCCTGGTTCATGGGCCAATGCTCAACCACCGAACTATACCGGTCAGGCCAGACTCCACGCTCTTAATCACTGCTCCACCCTAGGGTCCTGGCAGGTCCCTCAGGGAACATCAACACGGATCAGGACTCTGAAGCCACAGGGGCCCTCACCAGACACAGAAGCAAACCCAGGAGGAAGAACGGGACAGACTGGGGATCAGTGGACCCAGGAGACTCAGGGTTGTCCTCGGCTCTGTAATCATAACTGATATATTTCCCTTCAAACCCCGCTTTCTTATTTGAGATGTGGGGGTGATTCTAGGCCTTCCCCACACTGAACGCAGCATTCACTACTGAGCATCCACACCAGAAACCTGGCCGGGCTTCCCCAGGAAAGCACCACGGAGTGGGGATTGCTGCCCATGTTACAGCTGAGAAAAGCCCTCACCCCGACTCCAGTGAGTCCCTCCATTTCTCCCTTGCGAATCCAGCAGTAGACACACCAGCCTCCTTGCTATTTTTCAAATACATCAGAGGGTTCCCACCTCAGTGCCTTTGCACTTGCTGTGTGCTCTACGTGGCTATTCTTTGTTCCTCTTTTAATCTAGTTAACTCCTATTTAAACTTCTCCCAGCCTTCCCTGGGATCCCCTTGACGCTTACACCTCAAACTTTGAGATCCTTGTCTGGGTTACTTTCTGTTCATTTATATGACTAACAAACGCCCATCTTCCTCACCAGCTGGGAGCTCCGTAAGGGCAGGGCTGGGACTACCTTGGTCACTGCCATGTCCCCAGTACCCTCATTCATTTGCACAATGTTTTTCTTTTTTCTCTCAAGAAATGTGTTTTTTAAATTTTTATTTATTGATTTGAGAGCAGTTATTTGTTGTTCCTCTTATTTATGCATTCATTGGTTACTTCTTATATGTGCCCTTACCAGGGAATGAATCTATAACCTTGTTGTATGAGATTGATAATCTAACCAACTGAGCTATCAGCCAGGGCTCAATAAATGTTTTAGGCAAATGAATGAACAAGTGCTGATTTGCAGGGCTCCTCCAGTATTTACTTCATGCTGTGTTGTGTCCAAACTCAGCTTCTTACTGTTCTTCCCACTCACCCCATCCCCTCCTGCCTCTGGAACTCTGCTCTTGCTACACCCTCATCTAATACACCCTACCCTCACCCTCCTCCTGTGAAAACCCTGCCCACTCACAGGGACTCTGCCCAGCATCTCCTCACCCTCATCTTCAGACCAAGGCCTGACACGGCTTTTTTGACCCCCTCTTCAGACTGAGAACCCAGGACTGAATGTTTGTGTCCCTCTAAAATTCCCATGTTGAAGGCCCAACCCTTGGTGTGACTGTATTTGGAGGCAGGACCAGGGAGGAGGTGATAAAGATTAAATGAGGTCAGCCCTGGCTGGTGTGGCTCAAATGGTTGAGCGTTGTCCCATGGATTGAGGTCCCCAGTTCGATTCCCAGTCAAGGACATATGCCTGGGTTGAGGGATCAATCCCCAGTAGGGGGCATGCAGGAGGCAGCCAATCAATGATTCTCTCTCATCATTGATGTTTCTGTCTCTCTCCATCTCCCTTCCTCTCTGAAGTCAACAAAAAATAGTTTTTTCAAAAAAAAAAAAGAACCCTGATCTGTTTGGCTCAGTGGATAGAATGTTTGCCTGCAGACTGAAGGATCCCAGGTTCGATTCCGGTCAAGGGCATGTGCCTTGGTTGCGGGAACATCCCCAGCAGGGGGTGTGTGGGAGACGACTGATTGATGTTTCTCTCTCACCGATATTTCTGACTCTCTATTCCTCTCCCTTCCTCTCTGTAAAAAATAAAATATTGTTTTTTAAAAAAGAAGACACTTTGGTGGAAATCCTACCTTAAAAAAAAGATTAATGTGGTCATAGGGTGGGGCCCTAATCTAATAGGGCTGGTGCTCCTGGAACAAAAGACACTAGAGCTTACCGTCCACCATGTGAGTACACAATGAGAAGGTGGGCGGTCTGCAGGTCAGGAAAAGCCTGCCCCAGGAACTAAATTAAATGGTGCCTTGATCTTGGACTTGCCATCCCCAGAACTGTGAGCAAATAAATATCTGTTGTTTAAGCTGCCTAGTCTGTGGTATTTTGTTATGGCAGCCCAGGCTGACTAAGACAGACAGCTCTCCTCTGGTACACAGTCCCTCACTGTGTCATCCAGTAAGCATGTACTGAGCACCTAATACAAGCCCCTGGAGAAAGAGGTGGAGCCAATGGGCTTCCTGCCCAAATGGGATTGCCAGGGTGTCTGGAAAATAAGCGTTAAGAGTGACAACTCGAGCCGAGACCGGTTTGGCTCAATGGATAGAGCGTCGGCTTGGAAACTGAAGGGTCCCAGGTTCGATTCCGGTCAAGGGCATGTACCACAGGCATATCCCCAGTAGGGAGTGTGCAAGAGGCAGCTGATGGATGACTCTCTCTCATCGATGTTTCTAACTCTCCATCTCTCTCTCCCTTCCTCTCTGTACAAAATCAATTAAAAAAAAAAGTGACAACTTGAGATCTGAGCTGTGATAGGGACCTGCCAAGGGGGATGGGAGGTGGGGGGAGCCTGGAGGGGGCTTCTGGGAAATGTGTGTCAAAGGACTTCCTGGATGAGATACCCAGGAAAAAGTCTAAAGGAGAGGAAAATCCTAGCCCCCAGGAACGTAAGGGAGGCAGGATAGGAAAGGGATTTGTACTCCAGGGTGAAGGGAGGGTGCAGAGGGTGTTAGAGCCTGGAGGCGCAGACCTATGGGGATGAAACCTCTGAGGTTGGGGAGGAAGTAAATTGGGATGAGAAATGGGGAGCTCCAGCAGGGATCAGGGATGTGGGGAGTGGCTCTGGCTGGACAGGGGGAACACTTAGGTGGGAATCAAGAACCAAGAACCACATAATTGCTTGGATGTGAAAGTAAAAGAGAGAATAGATGAAGCTCAACGCCTCCGCCTCAAGATGCGCCCCCCGGCTCTCCCTTCTGGGCTCGCCCAGCCCATCGTCCCTCTCTCCAGTCCTGATCCCACGGGGGACGAAGCTCTGTCATCCCAAGCCTGGCAGCTGCTCAAGGGCAGGGCCAGAGCTGGGTGGACTCGAACACGACGCGATCCCTCTGGGCTTCAGTCGCGAGCTGTATTAATGGGCACAGCCTCCGCGGCAGCCGTCAAGACTGGGCGCCGGAAGAGGCCCCGCCTCCGAGCACCCCACCTCTAGCCCTCGCGGGGCATGGTCCCAGGCCCAGACGCCCACCCGGCCCACCCGCACCCCGAAACCCAGCTCCGCCCGCACCACGGCCGCTCCTACCTCCTACCCCCGGCGCCGGTCAGGTCGCTCCTCCGTGACGTCACCGTGGAGCTTGCGTGCTGAGCTCCCGAGGCGCGCGCTGATGACGCAACGCGCCGCCGCCATCTTGGTAAAGGAAGTGCTGGCCGAGTCTCCGACCCAAGTCAAGGCCACCAGCCATTTATTCGTTTTCTTCAAGAAGCATATAGTTTATAAAAACGCATCCCTGGTGCTCACTTCAGATATTTGCGAGCCAGGAGGGCCAGGTACAGGCAATCTAGAACCTTGCCTTTACCAAGATGGCCGCTGCCCGGAGGCAGGCCGGCTCGTACCTCACCCGCCAGGGTGCGCCAGAGCCCGCAGTCCGTGCGCGTCCGGAGACCCAATAGGTGGAGGAAAACAGTCGAGCCTTCGCCATCGCTTTGCGGGTTTTTTTTCTGCGCTCCCCTATCTCACATTCTCTGCCTCCGTTTGCGAAGCTGGGGCGGGAGGAGGCCAGAGAAGGAGGCAGAACAATTAACACTGCGCCGTCCGGGGCGGGGGAGGGGGGGGAAACTGAGGCCCATAAAGACCAGGAATTGCATTTGGTAAAAATGTAACCGTGAGCGGCTCGAATTTCTCGTGGGCCCCTCCTCTGGATTGCTGTCCTCCCCTACCCCCTTGCAGGATTATTTACTTTATTATTTTATTAAACAGATTTGGGGCTCATTTTGAAACTGGGTCTGTGCTGCCTGTCACTCGGGACTTAAGCCAGTTAAGCAGAGGCAGCGTAGAATCCTATGAGTGTTTATTTCAATAATGAGGGCAGAATGGGAGAGCAGCAGGTCATCCACAGAAATCTGCTCTATCCCCCTTCCGTCCCCTACCCCCAACCCCAAAGCCAGCTGCTTATATTGGGTGGAAGGACAAAGATTATATGGGTAAGTAGGCAAAGCAGGCAAAAGGAATAAGAAAGGGTATAGTGGTTACAGGTTACAGGTAGTGCTGGCTGGGAGGTTGCAAAGGGGTGGGGGCACCTCGGGGACTCAATTGTTTCGGCAACGAGGTTGTTCATCTTTCCATGATAGTTCTTGGATAAGGAGAATGGACCACATTTTGAGGTTAATCCCAGGATGTACAACTTTCAGCCAGGTCAGAATGTGATTTCTTTTTTTCTTTTTTTTTAGATATTAAAAAAAAAAAGAAGAAGAACATACACACACACACACACACACACACACACACTAGGGGCCCAGTGCATGAATTCGTGCACCTTGAAAGGAACTATGGGCCACGAGGTGAGGACAGGGGCTGTCTTAGCCTATCCTCCGTGGCCCTGGCCCCTCCCACCGCACCCCCAGTCCCGTCTGTCTGCCAGTAGCCCCGCCCCCACCCCTCCCATGTGCTGATGGCACTGGCCCCACTTGCACCTGCTGATGGTGCAGAGAGATTGGGCCATCGCCAGCAGTGGGTGTGAGCGGGACCAGCCCTAGGCAGGACTGCGGTGTGCAGGAGCAAATAATTTTCAGTAACCACCAGAGGCTTGCCCTGATGACAGCAACCAGTGCCCTGCCTTGGTCTGGTGCCCCTGCTCACCTGCTCCACCATCCTGCCACTATGGCTGATGCCCACCATATTCCACGTGCCCCCTGGTGGTCAGTGCACATCAAGCAACTGGTTGTTTGGTTGTTCCACTGTTTGGTCTATTTGCACATTAGGGTTTTATATACTAGCACTAATATATAGATTTTTATTTTTTATTGATTTCAGAGAGGAAGGGAAAGGGAGAGAGAGATAGAAACATCAATGATGAGAGAGAATCGTTGATTAGCTACCTCTTGTATGCTCCCTATTGGGGCTTGAGCCCACAACTGAGGCTGCTCTGATCTCCTGGTTTATAATTCGGTGTTCAACCAATGAACCACAGGCAAGGGCAGAATGTACTTTCTTTAATCAGAACAAAACAATCACAGTTAACAGAGCATGTTTACCATCCTATATAATAAAAACCTAATATGCTGAATGTCCAGTCGTCTGGTTGTCCATTCAACCAATCAAAGTGTAATATGCTAATGATATGGTAAGGCCGCTCCACCGCTCTGTATGACATGCACTGACCACCAGGGGGCAGACACTCTGACCAGTAGGTTAGCTTGCTGCTGGGGTCTGGCCAATTGGAACTGAGTGAGATGGGCTGGACATGCCCTGGAGCCCTCCCACGTTTCCTCCCCAGCTGGCCAACCTCCTGTGTCCTTCCCTGGCCCATATTGTGCACTGGTGGGGTCCCTCGGCC